TAATATCATAGAATGATCTCCTTGCTTCAGAGATATCCAGAAGATGTGTGTAAGTATAGATTTCTACATTATATATAACTGATCGATATAATTAGTAACAACAATTGAAGTGTCAAATTGGGTGGGTTGAGTGTCATGTGACCCCTCCTGACTCACAGCACCGCTGCAGCGGCCTTGTGCGCAATCCACAGCTGTGTATATCAATGGTTATAATGTAATAAACACAATATGATGAGTATTAAGGGGGCCGGGGGGGGGGGGGGGGGGGGGTCTTCATCAAAAATCTCTCGAAATTGATTTTATAGTTGTTTCTGATAGAAGGGAGTGATATCTATCAGCTGCTTTTAGTCCCATGGAAAAATATTGTTCCTAGCCGAAATTATTGCTGGTCAAAGTCAGCGCTCATGTGTAATTGTATTGTGCGAGCGATTTTCAATCGCGTGTCCTGAAAATCGAGTCTAAAAATCTTTCTTCTCCTACATTTTTTGAGCAATCACCCTGAAACTTTTAGGATATGTTCTAGGGATCATTTAGAAGATAGGTGTCGAGCCCAATTTTGAGATAGACCTTTTTTATTCGATTTTGAAAATCTTGGACCTGAAAAAATCAACAAAAAATGAGGTCCAAGATTTTCAAAATCGAATAACGGCCAGGTAGCGTAGTTGGTTAATCATCGGATTTGTAATCGTGAGATTGCGAGTTCGAAACCCACTGCCTGCCTAGTCGTGGGGTGAGTGTCGTCGACATTCAGCTAAAGATCCTGAGTGGTCTATGCAGCCCCCGGTATACTCAGCCGAATATTCGAGAAATCGTGTGTGAGGGTTAAATGAGAAGCTGTCCATTGCAGCGAAGTCTTGGGCAAAGAAAGTATGGTACACACTACCTTAACCGTCACTGGCCTAATTAAATCCTTCGGCTTCCTGTAATTGGCTAGTTACACTTGTGTAACAATGTGGCTGTTGGAATACTCCGAAGTAAAATAAGTGTGAGATAAAAAAAATTAAAAAAATTTCTGAGGCCTATCTCCCAAATTCGGCTCAATACTTTTCTTCTAAATGATCCCTAAAAAATATCCTGAAAGTTTCAGGGTGATTGCTTCAAAAATGTAGGAGAAGATAGATTTTTTCCCGATCCATGACTCAAAGTGCCGAAGGCACAAAAGAGTCAAGGACAAGGGTTAGCGAACGAGGTTTTTTTTTGTATATGGTAGCTTTGCGACCGTACCTGCGAGCGTGCGAGCGACCGTACCTGCCTGCACACGTACACTGTAATCGCCCACGTGACTACCTGCGCAAAGTTATTTTGCTGAATAATCCGAATCAGCTAATTGTTGGCGCGCGGCGCTGAACTGACCAAGTACATTGTTAATTTCACCATGTACATATCCCACTAGGCACTAATTGATAGCATACTATTATTATTTTGAGTTACTTATACTATTTTGCACACATCCGTGTCGGGTGCATAAACAATAAGCATATGGTTTTTAAAAATATACACGATTTTCAAATTCAATATGGAATTATATTAACTTGGTGGCGCTCGGCCTGTCACTTCGCCATATCTGCATACTTATAAACAGTAAAAACTGGGGTCCTCAGGTTGTATAGAAAATGATAAAATACGCCATCACGGATCGGGAAATTGAGCGGCCATGCACAAAAAAAAGCGGCCGCATTTCTTGTTAGACTCGATTTTCAGGACGCGCGATTGAAAATTGCTCTCGCAATACAATTACACATGAGCGCTGACCTTTGACCAGCGATAATATCGGCTAGGAACAATATTTTTCCATGGGATCAAAAGCAGCTGATAAATATCACTCCTTACTATAAGAAACAACTATAAAATCAATTTCGAGAGAATTTTGATGAAGACCCCCCCGGCCCCCTTGAGTTCAGTATTACACTAATCAGTTCAGTATTACACTAATCAGTTCAGTATTACACTAATCAGTTCAGTATTACACTAATTGCATACGTTTCAGTTCAGTATTACACTAATTGCATACGTTGCTCTTTTCTTACTCTCTTATCTTAGTGCTTATCTCTGTTGATTGTAACGTGCAGCTACAGTGGTTTGTGTATCACCGTGTTACACGACCATGACCATCCCGCCCAGCGAGTATGGTGAAAAGGAGATCAACATGTTAAGGGGTGACTCAGTTGAACTTCTCAGTAAGGCTATGTACGAGATGGAGATCACAGCAATGAAGCAACTATCCCCTTCGTGCGTGAAGAAGATGACCAAGAACACTGCGTGTGACTTGTTGCACGATGCATTAAGATATTTGGAGGAGTTTACTGGTGTCGTATCCACGGACTACAAGATGGCCTCAAACTCAGTTAAACATCTTATGTTCGAGACACAGGAGACCATCATTAAGCTGCAGTCAGAACTACTAGCCTGCAAAAATGAACAGTTGGAATCGTTGCAGACGTCAGTTAAATCGTCAGTCGGAGAGTCTGTCAAGGCTGAATTCCAATCCTTCAGCTCGGTATTACAGGCGAATTGTCCAGAATCTCAGAAGCCTGTCAGTTCTGAAATGATCAAGAAAGCTGTGAAAACTGTGGTACAGGAGGAAGACCGAAACAAAAATCTGATGATTTTTGGTTTATCGGAGCAGGACAATGAGGAGCTCAGCACCGTGGTCAGTGAAGTGTTCTCAGCAATCGGAGAGAAACCCAGAATCGAAGCTAGTAGAGTCGGAAAGCTCAAACCTGGCAAGGCTGTGAGACCAGTTAAAGTGACTGCGGCAAGTGCAACAATTGTTAATCAGATTCTCGCTAAATCGAGAAACCTGCGAGCAACGGAAAAGTTTAAAACTGTTTTTATCAGCCCAGATCGATCTCCAGAACAGAGAGCCAAGCAAAGAGAACTCGTCAGGGACATGAAAAAACTGGTAACTGAGCAGCCTGATAAGCTACACTTTATCAGAAACGGTGCTATAAAGAGTACTGATAAGACTAATAAGACTGCAGAATGAGCTTGTGTGTTTTTAATAATTGATTATTATTAGTGTATTCAAGTTTTTGTTGTGTGGAGGATGTTTTTAACTCACTCTTGTGTGCCCAGTCTTGCACTGTCAGTATTTCTCGACACTTTGAGCACACAAAACTGTCAGTTTTCGCGACAATTGTCAGATTTCGTTTTCAGTTCTGTCAATTTCAAGCGCTACTAGCTCTACTACTAGTAGTCTACTTCAGCTCACATTAAAGGGAGTTTTCGTCGTGCGTGTAGCGCCCTTCAAGTTTAACTTGGACGGATAGGATTTATAATACTTCTGATTATAATATTTATACTATATTGTATTTTGTATCTATGTATTTTAGTAAATGGTCATTAGAACCACCGGCACCGTCCGGGCCCAAACAAACAAACCCTCCAGAAGCATCTTCTAATTAAATTAGAAGCTGCTCATTACAAAAATATTACTCAACATCCATCCTAAACATTTATATAAATAAAAGGACAATGATTTTTAGATATAAAGGTCATATTTTGGTTAAACAGTTAATTTAAGCTTGAACAATTGATTGGATTGTAATTTTATAGGTCTATCTGGGGTCAATTAAGATCCCCACATATCTCAGCCATCTCAATTCGTTTTGGAGCATTCATGTCCAATGTCCATAGACATGCATCTGATACCAGTGATAGAAATTTTTTCTTTCTCTAAATTTTGTTTCTCTAATTAGTTGTCAATGTGTTTTTTCATATTGTGATAACAATATAAATATTTAATATCATGTTTAATTAATATTGTGCTTAAATCATAAACTGTGATATAATTTGATGAATAAATTACAACTTATGATTATGGTTCAAATTGGAATAAGCAAAACTCTCCAGTCTCCATGCTCTCTGGTCCATTCTTACATCAAAACATCAGCACTCAACTATTGAATTAGTATTAACATTTTGAAATAATGATTTCATTTGCTCAGGTTTGTTAACAAAATGATAAAACCAATGATCATAAACCCCACACTTATAGCCATATGTTTTCAGACAGTGAGTAAATCTTTTAGGTACTTTTAATGAAAAGTTCAAGTTTTTATTTACATTGTAGACCAACCATCCCACATAGCCGTCTTCTGGTCTGAAAGGAACCTGGTGTACTTCATCATCTAGTTTTAACATTGCTGAAATTATATCATATGATAAAATGTACCCTCCTCCAGAGCAATATCTCCACTTCGGATAACCGTCGAATCCACCATACTCCATGAAGCACTCACCACCGTACATCATGTGACTATCCATTGACTTAAGTTTTTCCAACACAATCGGGAGATTCACTAGTATGTCATCGTCAGTTTTTATTAAGAACTTGTAGTCATAGAGGTGCTGACTACGTTTCAATCCCCACAAAACTTTGTATTTGAGAACAGTTCTGTGTTCTTCCAAATTAGAAGCAATAAAAATGTCGTTGTGGGTTGAAACTTCTTCCAAAAACTCTTCTGAATAAGGTTTTTTAGTTATTTTACCTACTACAAACATGATTTTGAAGTTTTTGAATTGTTCCTCTATATATTCGGATGCTGCCCATGCTGTAAAATTTGCCCAAGTTTCTCTTATTGTGTTCCGGTTTTTGACTTTACCAGGCAGTGTCGGTATCAAAAATACTGCAAAATACTTCTCTTTTTTCACTGCCAATTTGTCAAGGTTTAAAAAAATCTTTGGTGATGTAGAGAGTTCTTCCCTGATAACAACAGGTCTTTGAGTTAAGAATACAAACGCAGCTAAAAGTAAGGATATCACCATCAAAATCTTTGTGAAGGGATGAAACTCCATTTCAGCAGCAATAATTCCGTCCAAACAACTCTCGAGGCAATATATAAACGCAGGTGGCAGATGTTAAAAACTAGAGATGAGTTATAGTGAACGTCTTGAACTTAAGCCATACCTCACCTCATCAAAAGAGTGCCTTGCGCAGTGTATTAACTTAGCTTTGCTTTTATTCCTTATATGGTTGTTAATGTGATCATTTGCAAATAATTTTAACTTCACAGCTAATTTGTAACCCTAAACTAGGATGGGAGAATGATATCTGGTGCAGTAGAATAACACCATATATAGATAGACTACGTTTATATAATATATATACACATATTCGAGTAAAGCAGATACGCTTCTCTTAGTTGTACAATGGATCAGTACACTGTTATTCGTCACATCGGGGAAGGGAGTTTTGGAAAAGCACTTCTTGTCAAGAGCAAACGTGACGGAAAGAAATATGTTATAAAACAGATCGGAATATCAAAGGTATGCTATTCATCAAATTGGTGCAATTGAACACACATTCTCATTATAATATTACGGGGGAAATGTATGAGCCTATTGATACATTAACTGATCCAACATCAAATAAGTACAAACCTGGAAACTGTCAGACGAAGGTTTAACGAGATAATTATAATGCACAATGAAATAAGGCTCAAAATGTATCTGCAGATGACACAGAAAGAAAAGGATGAGGCAAGAAAAGAAGTGAGTGTGCTCGCCAAAATGAACCACCCCAATATCGTCTCCTATCAGGATTCTTTTGAGGAGAAAGGTCAGTTTGATTTGATTTAAAATTATATTTTGGGTCTAGAATTATTTAGTTATTTAGTCAAGCACGGGATAATTTTTGAAAGTTATAAAAACTGCATTCCAAATAATATGTGTGTTCAATTTGAATTTTGTATACTTATACCGAACAAGAAACTATCAAGTTAAATGTAAAAAGCGTGTCTGATATAAGATTTCATACTCAAAGTAGACAAGTGCACGTGTCCAAAACTTATGAACAATCAATGGTCTAAAAATAGGGTGAGCCCTACAATAACCAACAAGAATGTCCCAAGATCCCTGTCACTAGTTTCACTCCTCTCAAGATCCTCCAGGTTAAAGCATCTCTGTTCCCTTTTCTTAGGTAGAGGAGAGCACCGATCCAGATCCATGTGCTCAGAGCAGGTGGTGATATAACTGTTGTCATAAGTTTCTTTGTCACCCCTCACTCCGAATCCCTCATCGCATTCTACAGTGATTCTCTCTCCAGGGAGGAATACCGGGACTGACACGTCCAGCAGTGCCCGCCCATTTTCTGCTTTTACATTCCTACAAGCAGCTGTTGGATCTTTTAGTTCATTTCCAGTAGAAAGTCGGACCCGGTTCAGGGTTGTGGTGCGATTGATGGAAAAAAGAGATACTAGGGCGATGGAGTTATATCGGGGAAGATACTGCATCAGGGACCACACCCCGTCCCCTTCTAAAGCACTCACTGCGGGACAGAGCAGCAATATTTGCTCCTCTTTTTCCTCCGCAGTTTTACAAGTATTGAGGAATGCTTTAGGCATCGTCAACCCCACCCAGATGAACAAAGTGATGCAAATATTGGTGTTCTTAAGCTGAACTGTTGTTTTCTTGCAACCAGAGTGAACTGACTGACCGTCGGTCGTCACAGACCTGAACTCCCAGGTTTGGTCACATGCTGAGCTCCAAACCAGTGGGTATCCCATAGCTCTTTTGATGTTGAGACGCTCATATCCTGTGATGTTCACCCCCACGCACTGTCCTGTTTCCGCACTCTGGATAACCAGCCCCGTTTCCTGGCTCCTGTTCATGGTCTCCTCTGAGTCCCGAGTAAAACGTCTGAAAAGACATCTTTTATCTAGGATAAAAGCTAACGACTCTGAGTCAGTATGATAATCAAGTTCACTCAATCTTTCCTTGTGCAATGAACACTCCGATAGTTGGTCCAGTAAGATTATGAAAGTTTGGCAATCCTCCAGAACTTTACAGTAGTCCCAACACTGGTTCCCCGGAGGTAGGGAGAACTTTTGGAAGGGTTCCGAATTTACAACAGTGTATTCGCTGTAACAGCTATTTGAACCAGGAAATATTATCAGCGCGATAGTTATCTTCAAGAGGGTGGTTATCGTCTTTAGATGAACCATTCTCCTGAGCTTGAGGTCCCAAGTAGAGCTTTATAACCAAACTGAAAATAATGAAACGTTGCAGGAGCCAGTCCCGAGTGCAAGGTGTTTATCGAGCAGAGACTTGCAAAGAGAAACTGAAAGTGCTGAAATGATCAATTTGTATTTAACCCCAGCCGGAACGATTTTTATTCTTTTGTTTTCTTTGATCTTTAGTTTTATCATTTTATTGTATCAGCAGCGAGATATAGCAGCGAGATATAGCCTCCCCATGTAGAGCTCAGTCATGTGAGAAAAGGTGATAAATGGTGCTAAAATTGATATTTTTGTCGGCGATCATGTCTCTCCTTTTAAAAGCACATATTGCGGGGGATGACAATGTAGAGTTGAGAACAATAGCTCAGCTGGTGATCAATGGAGTAAAAAACTGTAAATAGATGTTGGGAAACTCAGTCTCAACCATGTTGTCTTTAAAGAAAGGCTGTACCTTCTTTATATATACAGGGTGGCTCAAAAGTAATTACCCACACGCAATCCTTTAATAATTCGTGTCAGAATTTCACAAATATATCAGAGAATATAGATATGGGTCAAACTTAGAATTTCTGAAAGTTTCGCAAAATTTCATTGATTTTTACTATTGTCGCCATAAGTGAGAACGCTTTGAACTAGGAACTCTAAAGTTTATAGACACGTTTGATTTGATAATTCAAGTGATTTCCCAAAATTTGTGTTTAATCAACTTGAAATTTTGGGAAATCACTCGAATTATCTAACAAAATGTATTGATGTCCGCCAAAATCTCTGATTTTCAGATCATTCTCCGTCACGTGACGTTACGTTTATTTTATGTGGTGTGTACTCGTGGGAAGACTTGTCTCATGAAGTTATGTGCGTGATATTCAATAATTGTTAATAACAACACGTCTTTCAGGGTCACTGTCTATTGTGATGGATTATTGTGAAGGAGGTGATATGTTCAATACAATAAACCAACAGAAAGGTCAACTTTTTTCCGAAGAACAGGTCCGAAACTCAGATTTATGCTTGTAATCATCCACACTTGAGCAGCTTACATGTCTCAGAACGAATTAATAAATTAATGCTGTTTACTATTATCAACCATTGTTTCAGTTTGATTCTTGTCTACTTCTTCATTACTAACTTTCTCCTCAGATCTTGGATTGGTTTGCACAGACTTGTCTGGCTATCAAACACGTGCACGACCGTAAGATTCTACACAGGGATATCAAGTCTCAGAACATATTTCTAACGAGCGTTGATGGGAAACTAACCATTAAATTAGGAGATTTCGGTATATCTAGGTTAGTTCGTTTTATTGTTATACAGTATACACCTGTACTGTTTAAAATCTAATATAAGTTAAGTGTGTGTACAAACCATTTTAGGTTTCCTCAAGATTTGTTGCACGAATAAGTGAATGTACCTACTAGCCCCCCGCCCCCCCTCCCCTCCGCCCCCAACTACAAATAAATCTAATCTATAATCTGGACAGGGTGCTGCGTAACACAGCAGAGCTAGCTAGAACTTGTATTGGCACACCTTACTACCTCAGCCCTGAGATCTGTGAGAATAGACCATACAATAATAAGAGGTAAGTGGAGCAAACTCCTGATCCTGGAGAGCCCTCTTTCTTCAAGAGAAGAGCATGAGTGATATTATTCAAATCGCAAATTAATCTTTATTTTGAATAGATTATTTGAATGGTGTAGTAACTTATCGACTGAATACTGATATTTTAATTGACCACCGAGCTGACTAGACCACTGTGGCTGGGGAGGTGATATAAGTTAGTTATCACACGTGACACCGAATTGTGGTCATATGATTGGCCGAATGGTCGCTGCTGTAGGCCAACAAGATGACTGGTTGAGGTATGAAGAATATAACATTAACATTCCCTTTTAGCGACGTGTGGGCGCTAGGTTGTGTGCTATACGAGCTAGCCACACTAAAACACGCCTTTGAAGCGGGGAACATGAAGAATCTGGTGATGAAGATAGTTAGAGGAAACTACCCTCCCGTCAGTACTAGATACAGCAGGAACCTCAGGGGTCTTATCTCTAAACTATTTGAACGTGCTCCTAGGTTGGTTTACTTTATAGATGATCGACAATATTGCATCTTTTGTGTCTGATTTTATCTTTGTTTATGTTTATCTTTGTTTATGTTTGTCTTTACTAAATTTGATGTAGCATTCGAATCATCTCATAATTTTAAACTATCACACAATTCGCTGTTTCCTTGCTATAGAGCTTAGGTCTAAAACGTAAAACTTCGCTCCTCAGTGCTCGTCCCTCGATAAATGCTATCCTGCGAATGCCGTTCATTTTCGAGCGAGTGAAGAAGTTCCTACCTGATGATATCCTCCAAGAGGAGTTCAGTCACACAGTTCTACACCGTAACATGGTTCTAATGAAGAATCCAGAGAAGAATAATCCTGCTAAATCAGCATTCGGTCCTCCACCGGGTGAGTTGATAAAGGACACACTAAAGATCTATGAGGAAATGAAATTCTTCATCTTTTGAAGTCGTAACAATAACAAAAATGTTATGCTCCTTCTTCTTTAGCTCTAGATTCACTTCCCAACTAATAATCAAGTCTACAGTCCAGTATTTTTATTCTCCAGTGACTTTATTCTCAAACGAACAGCTTATTGATCAATACATGCTTATTAATGTAAACATGACGTAACGTTGAAGCATGTGTAATAACTAGTGGTTACGTAGTGATAAATGTGGACTTGTTAAGCTGTTGAACTGACGTTATTACACATCATAATAATATTGGGAATATTAAATCATACTATAATAATGTTCATTCCTCTATTAGAAAACAAAACAGAAAATCAATCGATTTATCAAACCCAGAATTTCAAGCTGACAATTTTCAAAATATTAGTGGAAAAAATTAAGTTGATCCATTTTATTTGGTTGCAATTATAAGATTTCTGCCAAGATCGGCCATTTGGAAAGTAAGGATGGTTAATGACCACCCTAGGGGTGGCTTTCGCAGTGCCAGGGCTATCCTACCTATAAAACACTTACCTGTTCTACAGCTGTGAGACACAATCCCGCAAAGATCTACGGAGCAGTAAATGCGGGAGTGAGACCGAAGAGTGCAGCTGCAAAGCTCACTGAACTGAGAGAGAAACAGAGGAAAGAGAGGATGGAGAGAGAGAAGGTTTGAAACTTGGTGCTGAGTTTTATAATAAGACATGATCCGTTACTCGATTGTTTTTGGAACTTATTTTTTGAAGTATTATTAATTTCGCATGATGTCGTATGGCTGATTAAACATTTTTGCCTATTTATTTATCATTTTCTGCAAAAAAGCACGTGATCAATGTTAATTTCTTATAAATTAGCTATCTTTTGCATGTTAAAAACATCAACAGGTTTTTCCTAAACAGAATAAAGTTTGTGCCAGGAAAAATATCGGAAACAACAAAAATAAGGTACTCTTACATTTGCATGGATTCAAACATGTTTAATAATATTCTCATTAATGATAACCGTCGCTACCATTCATCTTTTTCCTTAAATGATGTTGCTTGCTTCATGTAAATTGTAACCGTTGGGCGTTGCTCGAGCTGCTGTAACAGGTAGATCACTAGTTAGAACATTTAACTTTTCCCCTCAGCACTTACAAGACGAGATTGATAAGAGAAAACAGCGTCAAGCTGATCTGGAGAACAGAGAAAAACAACTAAAAGATGTCCGTGCCAAGCAGGCAGAACTTCAGGACAAACAAAAGGTATCAACAGTTCAAGAAAGCAGATTAGAAAGTTGCTGTGATTAGCTATGCGTTGGGCGATGTATTTTACTCCTTTGTTGGAAATTTAAATTATTTACTAGAACCAGATTTAGGATTTATCTAAATTTGAGTAACTATGTACAAAGAAGCACTTTTAGAAAGCCCAGCTAATGAGGAATGCTATTGGGGCACAGAAGGATTGGATTAGTCACATGGTGGATCCAGAACCTAAAAAAGCTAAACTGGATGATAAAGAAAACATGTGGGTACCCTAATAAATCTTGATTCCTATTTTTGTGGCCCATAAAGTGAAAATCAGTTCCTGTTTACTTCAACCAGATTTTGCCCAGATTTTAAAAGTCTAACTGGACTGGGACTGGTTTAAGAGAATATCAGAGATCAGTGACATGCAAAACTTTAACTAGCCGGAGATACTTGAATAAGTTCTGTCTCACATTCCCACTCCAATCTCATGCACATTGCTATCTTTGTTATATAAAACTTATTGTGGGAAACTAAAAAATGCTAAGTTAAACAATTGAGCTATCTTATGCATCGCTCTGCAAGCTGAAATGTAAACTGCAATTGCCTTTTACAAGAAGGATTGTGCGCTTGTTTAGTGTTTACTCGCAGATCTGCTTTTGTTAATCATGTTTTCCCTGAATTGCAGAGTTACACGTGATGAAGACCACAAACCGGTTGTAAGTGAAAATGAGCGGGAACAGATTATCCAGGAGTTCCTGAACAGGAAGCGAGAAGCGGAGGCGAATAAGCACCGGGTCGCGGCAGAGCGGAGGGAACCAGCTCAAGCACCATGGGCTGTGAATGACTGGAACTACAAGATTAATCCCGCCAAAAACGGTTGGCTTTTTTTTCCTATAAACTTTATCGCCCATAAATTTCAAACCGATGAATCACGCTCGCCGACACATTAATGATTATTTCAGGCCCCCCTAAAGTAGAAGGCAGTGCAATGCCAATGAACCATCGTGACCCCCGTCCACCATTCGCGATACCTGGACGAAATCAAAAGGAAAAGGAATACCTTGAAAAACTTGACGCTATCAGAAAGTGTGTTCTCATTATTTCAATCATATCAGGTTCCATTATATACTGCAATACTTGTTTAAAATAGTTTGTATCGATGTACAAATAATGTCTGCTTGACTTTCATCTGCATTCCAGGAATAACTTCGCTGAACGACAAAATAATAAGCAAAAGCATGATGGACCTCCATCGGAGTATGATCCTGAACAGCGGAGAAAGAAAATACTTGCGCTGAAGGTAACTTTCTGTAAGAGTAATCTGAAACTGAGGTTATACTCTCGTCATTCGTTCAGTTTTACTGGTATCAAGATAAACGCAATTTACATAATGTATTCTTTCTGAAGTTAACATGGTCTTGGTATGTTGGTATGTCATGTGTCAGTGAACTAAGTGTTTAAATAACCCAGAAACAGGCCGACGAGAAAGCCGCTCTACTCAAAGCTCAGCTTGAAAAACGGAGAAAGAGAAGAGAAGAAGGCCCTGTTATTTCTAAATCTCCAGAAATTCCACCCTCTAAAACACCTGAAATTCCTGCTAAAACTCCCGAAATTCCTGCCAAATCATCAGATAACCCCGCTAACTCAGCCAAACAGGGAAATAGCGATGCCCCCAAACCCAGCCCTGATTACAGGCCTATTAGGCCCAGCAAAGTGGCCAATAAGTTCGAGTCATGTGTCACGGCTGGGGACGCTTTAACTGACACAGAACAGCCTCCACAGATACCAAAAGAAGAAATAATGCCTAAGGAACCTGGAGAAGTTGATAGAAATGTGCCAGCTTTTGTTGTGAAGGAGGACAAAAAGAGGAGTGGGACTTTTGTTAAGGACAAGAATCAGGCAGATGTGGTTTTCATCGGGAAAGATGCTCTCGGTAAACCGGATTCAGATGGGTCGGTGAGTAAATTTTACAGCCATTAGTTAATTTGAGAGTTGCCATTGGTTTCTCGCACGTTTCCCTCCTGATTTTGAATCTGCATTATATCTCTACTTCCACATGTTTTGGCAAATGCAAATTATCATTCACTTTACACTCGCTGTAATCGATTTGAATGTCGATCTGCTAGAGTATCGATTAGTATAGGCTATAATAGCGCGGGTACTGTAAACTGTCCACTAAATTGTCCTCAATATTGAACACACCCTATAATATCAGGACGCTTCGTCTGGGAAGGAACGCAAGAAATGGGGCGCTCCTAAGAATGATGAGGAACTCATATCCCCCAGATACCAAGAGAGGAAAAAGTGGCAATCTCCCAAACAGGATGAACTGTTTGAGAAACTCTCCGCAAAAACACTTCTACCAGGAACCTACTTAGTCGCAGGTTTGTGCGGCTCAGCTTTTTTACTAGCAGGCATTGTCTTTAAGCCTATACAAAGTCGCGATGTCAGCATCGTGTGTAACAAGATTTCGATCGATTTATTATTCGCGCGTAATTTTCACGTGTGTATCAAACCAAACAAAATATAACATCAAAACTAGTTGCTGATTGTCACCAGTTATACAGGTGAAAATTTTCTCATCTTAGCTTCAGACCAAGCCTTATCTCTGCGCTTCTTAGATTTACAGATCGAATTACGTCATGCGTGATTACAATTACGATATCAATTATTTTTCTGTTTTCAATAAATATTCTATTTTGAACTTTCAGATACATCCAGTTCATCCGCATGTCCTGATAAGAGGTTGCCGGATGAGCCGACAACATCTCAAGCCAAGCCAATAGTGTCCCCAGCAAAGCCAACAATATCACCAGCAAAGCCAACAATATCACCAGCAAAGCCAACAATATCACCAGCAAAGCCAATAGTGTCCCCAGCAAAACCAATAGTATCACCAGCAAAACCAACAGTATCGCCGGAGAAGCCAGTCGTTTCGGTGGCTAAACCACCAATACCAGAAAAGAAGGATGTGTCACCTGAATCCACACAGAACGATCTGTTTGGTGGTATTGGTAATTTCCAGCATATGGACGACATTTTGAACGAGTCTAATAAGATGAGGAAATCTAATAAAGATAGCACCGGATCTAAAACAATCACTAGCCCTAGCAAGGTCAGTGGATATTGATAGCATTGAATTGTTGCCTGATCTTTGTAATTTCAGTGGCAAGTTCCGATACATTTTAAGGAACCTTTATTTATACCAAATAGCCACAAAATATTAAAAATTATATGAAAATTGTGCGTCATATGAATTTGATTCTCGAATCTTATTTTTCATTCTAATCTCCTGTCAGGTGTCCCAAGTTGTTGAGGATGCAGATTTGGAGGTAGAGGACTTGGGGGCTAGTATCAGGGTAACTGGGCCTAACTCTTCAGGGGGAGCATGGGACAAATCTGGCGACATACAGCCTGCTGAACCTTCTCGATCCGATAATAATCAGTCCGTAGCAGTAGAGCACACTGACTACACAGATGATGCAGACGAGGAAAGTCAAGTGATGCCCTCAGGGTCCCCGTTGAAGAGACCGGTGGAAGAGGCGGATCTGCCACCTGCAGTTTCATTTATTGATCAGGTCAGTGGAGGAGGCGGATCGGCCACCTGCAGTTTCATATATTCTTATATTTATAAGGTCAGAGGTCTCAAGTGGTGCAGTGGTACGGAGTGGCTTTTGCAAGCTGCACAATCTGCATTTTATTGTTGCAAGCACAACTATCAAACACAAATTTATTGACCTCAATCGTTTAATACGCCTATTGTTCACAACATTTCGATTATCAAGTACTTGTTTATCAACATTTTTCTGAGGAAAGATTATTAAAAATTTGTTCTATTTTTAGGTGCAAACTCCTACTAAAGCCGCAGATGCAAAGTCGGTCCTATCGAGACTGCAATCTGAAGAACAGGAGGCAACACTTGCCTTATTAGCGACCGGCACATTCGACACAGATGTTCAAAAACTTCGTACCGTATCCTTACCTGACCTCAATGATGCTAACGACAATGAGGCCAAGAAAACGTCTCTCTCTGACAATGAAGACGTCGAACTTGAAACTGAGGTCATAGTTGAAGAGGAAGAGAAGGATATCGAGAGGACTCCCCATAATAAGTTTAGCACCCAGGCCTCTGAATACCACACGCCAATGAGCGAGACCCCTGTGGGTGTTCCTCAGATTGTGATAAAACCCAACTCGCAGAGAAAGGGAGATATTTCTCGTAGCAGCGATCAGGCAGAGGTTAGTGATCGCCAGTCTGTCTCAGTCAGAACATAGCAGAATAATTCTGGGCTCCGATGAAATTTTGTCAAAGTTTTAGCCGAAAAATAGGTCGGAAAAGTAAGGGCAGCCCACAGTTTTTCCTTTATTTTTCCCAGTCTAAACTGTTGCTTTTCTGGTCCAAACGGAAAACGGAACACTTAGTACAGTTTAGGTAAAAACGTCTAATGGTTATGTCCATTCTCCTCAGATAAATGAAAACAACAGTGATGTTGAGGACACAGTGAAGTCTGATTCCGAGGAAGAAGAATACCTGGAGCTTGTGAAGAGCTTGCAGAGTGTTCTGGACGACGTGCCAAGTGAGTCTTAGATAATTATATCTGAAATATCTCATCCCTAGAAGTCTCAGAATCTTAAAATCCGTCCCATTAAAAATGCCTCTTTATTGAATGCCCCTTTACAGGCGATGACGACGTTACATTCGGGACCTGCAAGTCACCTTTTAGTGATGACGAAAGTGATGAGGTTAATGATGCAGACAGCTCTAAAAATTGTGAGTATCTTTTTAGTCAACAGTTAACCAAAAATAGCGAAAGATTTTACTCAAACAATCCTCGGAAAATGTCTAAAAGTTCTCTAATATTTTACTCGAGATGATAGAAAGAACATTTCCAGGCTCACAGAGGAGTCAGTCTCCCCAGTTTGACGACAGTTGTCAAGACGACGAGAATTTTGGGGAGAACGAGAGCGTGTTCGGTCGGTTAGAGCAGTCCAGGGAGGCACTGGAGAAGCGGATAGGTCATGAGATCCTTATCCAGGCTTACAATATTATACAGGTCGGTCCTCTACGTCAACAGTTTTTTACTACGTCATGTCTTTTCTTATTTTCCGGAAAAATTATATATTTTATTTTAAATGCCCCAGAACGCCAAAATGGCACAACTCAGCTTTCAATAAAATATCAGCACTATTAAGATTTCTGAATATTTCAGAAAGTGCAGGATAGCGATGATGAGGATCTCTCGTTCGAGAAGGAAGTTCAAGACAAAGTGGCAGCTCTACTCGGTGAAGCTCAACACCTCTTCCCTGCTATCCTACACTTGGTAATGGCTGACAGTGCTTTCTGCTCCGAGAATAAATCGTGACAAAGATCAGGTAAGGTTGTTGTTATTCATTTTTGTTGGTTTGTTTCTATCGTATGTGGGTTTTTATAAATATATCCATGAAAATTTAAATATCTGTCAATTAACAAGTTAAATTGTAAGTTGTACTTTATATTTTCTACAAAACTTTTTTCAGAAATTTTTGAAATAAAATAAACAAGGCTGAATGTGAAGTTTATTTTTTCAGATCTCTAGTACAACCTCGAATGGAGTTCCGTAATCAACCTTATTCCAGACACAGTTTCTTAATCCATCGGCCTCGCCTCAGCCGTGACGTAACCACGTGACGTAACCAGTTAACCACGTGACGTAGCGCTTCTCTCTTGACATGATGTTTATTTGATGTATTTGTTGATGATATCCTCTAGGACAGGACTCTAGTTTAAATGTAGCAAGATCTGGACTTGATTAATCAATGTGTCTTCGTCTCTTTATAGTTCAGACGGCTCCATGTGGAGATGTGATGCACATTTTCACGTGAATCCTTCTAGGTTCAGCCTAATGCTGGAAGCATGTTTCTGATTTTCTCTTTGTCCTTGTCACTAACAGACTTCTTTTGGCGTGAGCAAAAGCATCAGATTTTTTTAAACATTCTGGATGACCGGGGATAGATTTAACTTATTGACCACTTTTTATACGTTCATTTTCTTTCTACGCTGCTGAATCGCTAGGCTGTAAAGTGTAAATAGATCTACTTATCTTTTATTTTTAGTAAATGTAAATACATTTCGATAATAAAATTGATAGCTGAAAATTCATTTTACCAATAATAATATCTGCATTTAAACTTGTTTCTATATCCGTGCAAGGTAAAATACTCTGAAACCTCTAATACTAATCAACACTCAATCAAGAAAAATTCAGCGAATCTTTTCACATAATTCAATCCCTCTAGACTTGTCTCTTATGGGTGTCTACAACTTGACCGGACCCGATTTCCCTGCCAGACTGTCCGCTAGCGCGTGCAGGTCTTCATTTTCAAACATGGGCTTTACCTCTTTGATCCCTCCCATTGCCTGAGTAATGAGTATATGACATCAATGAGCTAGGAACGTTGAATAGGAAAATAACTTCAGAATATCATACGATTCTATTAAAAAAAATAATCTACGAGTAAAATATCTATTATAGTAAAACTGTAGGAATTGTGAAATGTCAAATTCCGCAAAATGCCAATATATCGACACCCATTGGGCCCCAAAATTTACTCAACAAATATTAATAGTTAATAGTACTATGTTTTACAGTATGCACTGAAGGGGTATCCTAGGAAGTTTCTTGAACTTTTAACAGGTACCCCTCCTCATTTAACCCTCGATTAAGTTTCCTATCATTCGGCTGAGGAGATCGCATAGATCCAATGGATCGAACCCTGAACCTTCTGCGCAGAAGGCGGATGCTCTAACCACTAGGCCACCTATAATAGTATAATATTCCAACTGGACGACTTCCACAAGTAACGTCTCTAACAGTAACACTGAGATATAACGAAATAAAAAGTACCTTGCCGTTAATCCAGACCCGGGGGGTCCATCTCTCTCCTGTTATCTGTCTACAATGCTCCTGGATGTGATCCATGGACGGCCAGTCCGAAATGGTGATAACATTCGTTTGTTCCTTCGTGAAACCTGTGACGTGTTTAAGTTTGTTGAAGTAATTTGGGTTTTAAATCGCAAAAAATTCAATATTCAATAATTAGCGCACATGGCAGTATTCAAAGCCTTTCAGTTTCAGGGCCAGCTAAGTACGCTACGTAACTTAAAACTTCAGAAAACACGTACCAGCTTCTTCGAGCATGATCTTGACCTCTGTACAAGGTGGACAGGTCTTCTTACTGAACACGACCAGAGTATTAGTAGTGGCACTGTGAGCCACCATCTCCCGGGCAGCCTGTTCTAGAACCATGTCGTACTTAGCTTTAGGTAGAGTGCCGTCAAACCAGGCCTGCCTAGCTTCCTCCAACCCGCCCAGTACCTGAGTAGGGAAGATAAGTCGCTGATTATTCCTTATACGGTCAATGCATGTGTACCCGGGTGTGTTCCGAAGACCGAAGCTGAAGGTAACGCAATATCAGGCGTGTCTTCATAAAACTTATATCCATTGCCCATAGCCATTATAATTTGTTAATGTAACGCGTGCGAGTAACCAATGGTAACAGTAATTTGAACAGGGGTCAGGGGGTTTCTTAGTGCATATACCATATAAAGTTGTTACTTGGTATTTTATTCTTCGTTTTATCGTAATCTCTATCCTCTGATAACAGCGAACTAAAAACGAAAGTGAAAGTATTTCTAACCTTCCCCCTGACCCAGATAAGTGGGCAGGATGTAGACTTGGTAAGTTTTCCCGCTTCCGCCAGGATTTCTGTTCCGTCCCTTCTGATTCCGACCTCGTGTATAATGATCTCGCTTTCCGTGAACCCTGCGCGGGAGGGTAAATTTCCTGCTGTTTCTCTTTTTAAAGCTCACGAACTGGATGAACAGGATTGTTGTCGTGTTAGAAACCCTCTTATTTCGTAACGTCCGAAACTCCGTTACTAAAGGTTACGTATTTCTAATCCTCGAATGGCCGGGTAGCCCCGTGCAGGACATTAAGCAGCTACAGAACAAGGACCCAGACAGAGTCTGTAGTTTTAATGCTGTCTAGCCTCTAGGCCTTTAGGACAAGGTCTTGGTCTACTAAATCACATATTAAGATCGTCAGGTATAGATCACCCAAAGTAAAGCCTATGTCCCGGAACTTTGTACATGTATCGTAAGTGATGTTGTCACGTTTCTTCATAACTTGATCATCACGTTTTGTCGGGTATTATCTTAGTCCTTGGGGGCGGAGCTTGAGGGCCAATTAGAGGTCATGAGGTCAAGCAATTATGGTCAGCAGTGCTATGGTATTCATTATGCTAATTTAACTTTTTTACTTTTAGCGCCGGATATTTATAGTATCATTAATTATTGTTGATATGATGAAATACTCGTTCGGTTGAGTGATTCAATTTACGGTTTCGTATCGGACAAGTCATTTTAAATATCTCTCAATTTACCAATCATTTGGATCATTGTTTGGGTAATTTGGCGTCAAATCTGACCAACCTGCCTTGAGACAGTACTGTTTGGCAGCATCGCAGTCACCACACCTCTGTTTAGCCACGAGCAGGACCACACACTTCTCGATCTCTTCCGATAACCACGTCATCTCTGGGTTGTAGATATTTGGCGGGGTATCAAATCTTATAATATACAAATTAGGGGTCTATAAGTTGTTATGATTCGAACAACCCTGACCGCCTTCCTTTTAGAACCCAGCTTAAATAACGATTATATATGTTTTAAACGATAACTGTTCATCGAACCGTTAAATCTCGAAAATCGCAGTCAAACTTCTACAATTGGACCACAAAATAGCTTCAAAATAGCCATATTCCTATGGCAGTCTACGGGAAAAAGAATCATCACTGATTGAAACGCGATAAAAGAAAAATATCCAATTTGTGGATCCTCTAAAATTTAAATGAGAGGAACCCTAACAAGATCTGTACTTCAGTAGAGGCAGTGTTATATTACAATCAGCCTCACCTGGCACCACGCTGTGCACTGACCCGCTGAAGTGGAAAATATCAATTGTGTTCCAGATTTAATGTGATCATGATTTGAAATCGGGGCCATAGCTGCAAAAAAATGCGGAGGAGGTTAATCCATCATGGAAGTAATTACAAATACAAAGTATGCAAACTTTTTCAATTATTACAGCCCTCCTTATTATACAGCACTGAAATTTGTTCCAGAAAATGTTGCAGTGAAATATAGATGAATTGCATTACTTCCCATACCGACTGCCGTGAGTGCACTGTTGATTTAATATAGAAATTCAATATGGTGTGCGAGAAAATAAGGGAAAATTATGGGTTTTCCTGTACCTTACAAGACTTTTTTGTGACGGACTAATTTGCGACGACCGAAATTTTGGCGGTCCGAAAATATGGCGAAATTGAACAAAAACCGTCAAATTTCGGACGTCACAGAAAATAAGGGTATTTTTCATCATTTTTTGTGACAGTAAGCAGTAATATATAAGGAAATTTCTGAAATTCGGTAAAATCATGTTCAAACTTAGTCTGTATTAAGACTGTAAGACTTTCATGTTAGCACATACATGTATTTTAATGCAAATTTAAACTGTATTGCTTGACATTCAATTCGTCATTGATGTGGTGATAATTTGTCCCAAGATGCCAGAATTTATTTATTTATTTTACTTGATATTACTTTTTAGAAACAAAATAAAGCAGTGAAGGCACAGTCATTGAAATAAGCTAAAAGATAATGCGACGGATTCTATTACGACGACCGAAATTTTGGCGGTCCGAAAATATGGCGAAATTTTCGGAAAACCGCCACATTTCGTACGTTATAAATATGTCTTGTAAGGTACTATTTAAAAACATCAGCCGATTTTGTTAATTTGTTATCAGTAAACCTTAAGAGTGTTTATTATTTAATACCACGTACATAAGCTACATATAACTGATCATACATCCTGGTCAGGCTAATAACTTAATAATAAAGGTGAAAGGTAAAAACACAATTGCGTGTGTCTGATGCCTGATATTAGCAAATGATATGATGTAAGTGTTGCATGTAGGCAGAGGCTTTGAAAACGGGCAAAAAATGCTGAAAGATACAATCTCGATATCTGGATGGATAGAATTCGTGGAACTTAAAAATGCTTGCCCTAAAAACGGAAAGACTGATAAGATTGTGTCAGGTAAGCTCTCAGCTTACATCACATGTATCCATGGTTCTTTAGTGTCAGTGTATATCTGCTGAAGGGTGTACAGCACACAAGTTTTGGTAATTCAATATAATACTGACTGTATCATATTGTCTCAAATTGCACTTATTTGCTTGTACTCGTAGTCAAGAAGTTGACCTATATTTGTTCTGGGACTGCTCACAAATTTCCTGAACAATCGCATTGCTATTTAGACCGATCCAGATTAATCCAATTTGTTTTTAATGGTTCTGTTGATATATCTAGCCTTGATAATAACAGTTCATCCTTACAACATCGACATCCTCGACCCTCTTTCTCTAACTGGAAAATCTCCCGGAGAATATTTCGGTTACTCCACCGCTGTCCAGAGGTCTGGAGCCTCCAGATGGGTGCTGGTCGGAGCCCCCACAGCTAACATCACACTTAAAGACGGCACTGTCGGAGCAAGCTGGGGCTCAGTGTATAATTGCAGTAGTGGTGAGGGTGATAGTGGTTATCAGTGCAAGGAGGTGATAGTGGACAACATTCCGGAAGTTAAGGATGAGGTGAAAGAGGGGCAGTGGACTGGTGTCACCCTCTCTGTCGATCCTACCACTTCTGTTGCTGTAACCTGTGCACACAGGTACGTCTGTTTTGTATAAAAATAGTGAAAATTGTCTCTAAGATATGACATCTTATCTCAGTGGTAGAATGTGTTGTTTCCAAGATATCTAAGAAGTGCCAGTATCCTCCTACTCTATGTTTTAGATACGATCTTGTCACCTAGGTACACAAAAAGAGGAATAATGAAAACAGATAACGAGGTAGGGATGAGAGGTAGATGTTGGATCATTAAACCTGACGGAAAAACTAAACTTTTACCTGATCTCTGTGTCAGTATTTACATGGCTGTTGATTCAGACAGGTAAGTTATCAATAATCATGTACAATGTACATAACAGGAAATATGAAATACTATTATTGGGAACCTCGATACGTTGTGAAAGGTTGGTCATAGATTGCAGGTTCCAACTCAGTCTGTCTTGATTTAGGTGTAATTGAATCTTATCACAGATGCAGCGCGGGGATATCTTCTTCATACGATAACAATGAGTTTTTCGCTGTCGGTGGAGTGGGATACCAGAATTGGAAGGGAAGGACTATGTTCTACGACTCAAAAATTGGGGCTAATGCCCTGCAAAGCGTATCTATAGACGGGAAATTTTCTCGGACCTACGACTACTTTGGTTACTCCTCGGCTTCGTGCTATGATAAACAAGATAAATTTACGTATCTCTTTGTCAGTGCTCCTCGATCCAAAAATATACGGGGTAAAGTTGACTACATCAAGTATTATGGTTCTGTTTATAACGGAGTGATCCCGTCCCAATTTGCCATGGGTCATCAGATTGGATCATACTTTGGTGCTTCTGTAACTTGTGGATACACAAAACTTTCTACTCTTCAGGTTAGCACAACATTCTGCACGAATTTACCCGTATGGCCTATGTATGCAATCATGCTTGTTCATTACACGAACTCAAAACATGATCTCGATATTTATATAAAAGATATCCACCAGGACTAGTTGGTTGTTACTTGTTTATATAAACCATCAGGTGATAATCGGAGCACCGTCCCACTCGGACACCACCATATCTGGCGACTACGACCGGGGGAAGATCTACGTCTATCAAGTTAACAAATATGCTCCCGGTAAACCTTCCTTTCCTCGAGCTCAGTTAACTGGCTTTAAATCAGGTTCTTGCTTACTCTTATTTTTCTTTGACTTTAGATTTATACACAGCTTCCGATTACCAAAGGTGACTTACACAAGATCCAGCCTATCCACTATTCTCAATATAAAATGTGTGACCAGGGAGTAGATTTGGAGCTGTTGTCTCAGTGCTCGGTGACATCAACAAGGATGGGCTAGACGACCTAGCAGTGGGTGCACCATCAGACCTCTCCCCTGACGCTGGCAGGGTTTACATCTATCTGGGTGCTAAAAAAGGCTTTACAACCTTCAGTAAACCTGTTCAGGTTGTTAAATCTCACAGGTCCTAGAAAAGTTACTGTTTCTGCCTCTCTGGCCTCTTCATTGATACAATATGGCCTTCAGGAACTTTACTTTAACTCTAAGGCCTGATTTTTTTGCAGATCATATCACCTCTCCCTGTAGCCAAGGCTCCACTGTTTGGTTTCGGAAGCAGTGTGAGTGGTGGGAGTGATATTGATGATAATGGGTATCCAGATATGGTAGTAGGTGCTTTTCCTTCCGATAAAGCTTTTATCTACAGGTATCGTACATACACGAGTCTTGTAACACCCTGTACTCTGTACTCTGTCTACGCCTCATCAGTCATCACATTGTTTCTTGATAGAAGCAAAAGATGGATAAAATTATAATTAACCGCTGCTTTTTAACTTTTGATTCATCAAAACATGTTGATTCTAATTTTCTATTCTGAGTGATTCTATGGAATGAAGATTAGCGTTCCGTCTAATTTATTCCTCACGTGATTTTCGCCAGAAATAGCTCAATCAAATGTGGGAGGAGAATTAAAAGATTAAAAATTATCAGATATCACGATGGAGAATCACACGTATTTTCTGCAATTACATATACACAGCTAGTTATAAACATTTTTTTTCAATGAAGCAAACAACTTATAAAGTGATAAAGTATCCTTTTCCTCTTTCTGATCCCATCATAAATAAATTTCAATAATAACGTGAAGAAGCCCACTCATTTGTGATTGATGCCACCCAACTCATTGCAGAACAGCGCCCATCATCAATATCGACATAAAACAGACATTTCCAAACATGTCTGCCAACCTGATCGACAAGAACGACCCATGCCCCAATGAGAATGTGACTGTTGCTTGTTTTAATCTGCATTTCTGTGTTAAGTATCTACCAGAACCGGGACAGAAGGTTGATGCATCCAGAGGATTCAGTGAGTTATTCTATCAAATTTAGGATAAAAAGCTGAATCTATAGGCGTAAATTAGGATAGGAAAATGATTCCCAGACTCTAGGCGTTAATTGTGTCTTGACGTTTTTTCATTCCATACGTGATATTCACAGCGTCATGAAAACTTAAAATTGCTAAGTATATCGTTCTAATTTTGACATAACCAGTTGTAGGTCTTCACATGTTCAAGAAATATTCAAGAATCATAATTTGCTAATACTTATGCCTAATTTAGTAATAGTAATATTTATTTCTAATATCTTTCCAATATCTGCAAAAAAGTATTTTTAATAACTGAATGTTTGATTACACTTGTCATCATGATGTCAGGTATTAGGGTTACAAATAGTTTGGACACAGAAAATGATATTTACACCAAGAGAGTTCGATTTTCGGAAGAAAAAACCTATGTGGTCCATGAGAACTTCACGGACTATATGTACGGGAGTGAGAAGGAAATGTGCAGTCACCAGAAGATATTCCTCGAGGTAACAGGGAACTTGGGATATAGAGCACATTTTCTAGAGCTCTTTTGATATCTTGAAATTGAGGATAATTGACTAGTTTCTCATAGATAATTTCTTTAATTTTTCATGATAACTGCTGAGCGTTAGAACTGTGATTAAACTTTCCTCAGTTTAAAATCACAACTCTCGTTATACTTATACCTCGAACAAAGATTGGGAATTAAAACCGTTAGTATTAAAACTTTGATTTCTACGCCTTTCTTATCAAGTTTTAAAACTTATCAGGAAGAGATAACGAACATTGCACAGCTGATAAGCATCAAGACAGAGGCTACTGTCCTCCCTTCCCTAAAATTCGAGAATAGATTGGCTCTGAACGTTTCTCGGTATCCCTACGCTATATCACAGGTCGAATAGCAGCTATTATAAATATCAACTTATCACCAATTACATACTGAAATAGAAGTGACACTTCCAATTCGAGAGAACTGGATTTCAAAGAACCGAACAGCATTCAGTTTAACAGTTTTGTGTTTAAATCAAGACTTTCCGCTCAATTTATCCAGAATATACTCTCTGACGTAAAAATCATACTTTTGTTTGCGCAACAGGTTGTTGTCATTAATGGTTTAAAAATTCTTTTTACAGGTTAAGATTAAAACAGCATGTGCTAACGCTACTTGTGAAACTGACCTTAGACTGGCATCCCCTGGAGTTATCCTTGACAAGTGCGTCATTTTGTAGTGTTAAGTGATTTTACTATGCATAATATATTCAAGTAATAATTCATTAAGATATTTACTTACCGCAATATTATTCCAACACGACTGTCAATATGAGAACCGAATTGTGTGAAAATTATGAGTAAAAGCTCGAAGATCAAAGATTATTATCAAAAAGTTGGGTGGATTATTCTGGAATGATCGACAGTAAATGAGGTGACTTGTTCCTAATAAAAATTAAAAACCTGGTCATCCGTCATCTATAAGATCATTAGTATTCCTGAACTATAAATTCTTAAAAACTAATAAGACGCACTTTGACGAGATTGAAAGGACTTCTAAGACGCACTTTGACGATTTCTGGGGTGATTTTACGTTTGTGAGATATCATAAGCCGCCATTGTGTTACTCTAGGAGAAACGTTCTAAATATGGAAGAAAATCTAAATATGGAATTATAATCACAGTTTTATAACTTTTAACACGGAGGAATTAATCAGGGCTGAGGTCGGAACTAGAGCTGGAGTTCTCTACCCGGGATTCAACGAACTTATTTGGTCCAACTACAGTATCACAAGAAACATATCCCTGGGCAAACCCTTCGGTTCTCACATTCTCATCACCATGCCTGCTTCAATGTACATTAAGAATGTGAGAGGAGCAGACGGTACGAAGCTGTCGATATGTACCCCCTTCTCTGTGAGGGAGGGGAACTATTACTGTGGCTTGGATGAGCGGATGGATACCAATGAGACACAGTTCAACTTTTCTGTGGAATACTCAGTTACTGGAGTTAAGGCTGAGGTGAATGAAATAGAATTTGGTTCGTAACTGATCAGTATTAACAATGTTAATATTTGTCATGTTCAATCCTCCAACTTTTATTACTTTTCACCCTGCTTGAAATTACAATCTCGACACTTAAAACAGGGTGCAAAAGAAGTGATTATTCGAACAGAACTGGTGACAGAGGGCAGTGAAGACAAACACCCTGACAACAATGTCATGACACAGAATATAACCCTCAGACGGCTAGCACGGTTAGAACTTCAGGGAACATCCTCCCGGTACAAAGTTCCATTCGAGGTATGTTAAAGGACTGCTCCACGGTAGATTTTATAATTGAATAGAATTTTGAGCCTGACTCAACTCGTATCCTATTGTAGCAGCCAGTGCTTGATGCTTATATTCATCAGGCTATAATGGCTTTTCAGGAAGTTGGCAAGGTTTCAAGATTTTATCAAACGGCTTTGATACGTATAATGAAGCCTAATTAGGTCAAAAAATCAGGATTTTTCTACTTCTGACATTGGCACAGAGAAAATTAAACACAAATATGTTTGAGATATTTCTGGTTGACATTTTAAAAACTTGGTACAGATAATTAGTATTACGCAGTGACCGTCACGGGGTGTCGCGTAAAAATCAGCATTTAAAAAATAAGATAATTGAAGATAGTTCACGTGTTGCCATATCTCGCTTCCAATGATTGTTCCAACAAAGCTGATGTTTAATTTCATCCAGCTCGTGGAGAAGCCCCAAAAAGGCCAAAAGTATAACGTCAGAAATACTTGAAACCCCGAATAATTTCCTGTAGCCGTAGGTTATAACTACACGAGTATTTATCTGGTTTCAGCCTATCAGAAATTCTTCTAAGGTGATAAAGGAATATCTTGGCCGTATATAAAGATATAAGAATAAAAATATCGATAGAAAAATCAAATTTGCAATTTATGTAATTCCCATCTTATACTTTAGATAAGAGATAAAGAAACGAAGGTAAACTTTGTTAGTGATATCAGTAAAAGTGGAGCTCTGGAAACGCAATTCTTTCCTATAAACTACGGACCGGGTGAGCTGCATGATCTTGAGTTGATAATTGAAGTTCCCTTCGCTCTCAACTCTACTCAAAATGAGGATTTTATCTATCCTTATAAAGTTGATTCCAGTACCGACATCGTTTGCGAAGTGGACCTCCTGAATGTCCACAATGTACCCACCGCTAGTAAGACAAAAAGGACCAAACGTTCATCCCGATTACCTCGACCATCTACACTGGGAGAAATACAGGACTCCTTACTAGCTGACCCTCGACCTGATGAAGACACTGTTCAGCGTGTGTCCTATGAGTGCGGGCGTGATGTGCACTGCATTAACATAAGCTGCACCATAGCTAAACTAACTAAGGACATTGTGGGGATCAGGCTAACTTCCTACGTTTGGGAGCTCACATTTCAGGAACCTATTCGGATCAACGCATCCGTCCGGGCGTGGGTCGCAAACAAGGACTCTGGAGCAGATCTGACGTCTAACAGCTTAACCGGGCCCGTTCTTATTCCTCTTCAGGTGATAGCAGTTGCTGATTTGGTTAGACCAGTGAGTATCTGGATCATTGTGGGCTCCATCACAGGTGGCCTGTGTTTCCTCTCCCTCATCGTCATCATCCTCTACAAGGTGGGCTTCTTTAACCGGAACAGACCTCCCGCTGAATTTTACGGTCAAGAAAATCCCGGAGTAACCATCGAAGTTACGGACGATTCCCATGATCTGGCTGTTGAGCCGTACATTCAGGATAGTGAGGACGACGAGGCTCAGTTTGCATTTAGAAACCCTCTCTGCGATGAGCTTAACATGTGACCTCATTTGTATTACGCGACTGCAGGAGCTAATTTTGGATTTTCTGTCAAAGATCTGTCCAAAAGGTGTGGTGATGGTGTATATTATATAATTGTCAGACTTTGTCACGTTTTTTAAATACAGACCCCGTGCATTTTTAGGGAGTTTTCATACTTGTGATTCGTTTTCAGTTGTCTTAAACACGTGTCTAGAAGAAACAGACGGGACTTATATAAGATGGCCAATGTTTTAATTGAATACGCCCTTTTCTGATATGTAAAACTAATCAAACACTTTGTTATTAGGTTTAAAACACAATTTGAATAGATCATATAATATCACGATGTTAGTGATTTAAGAAAATCGTTTACAAATACTAATTGTACTAAATTATTAGAATTGTGGGAGGTGAAGGGGGTAGGGAAGGTTAAAATATCGCTAAATACATCGCAAGATTGAGTTGAATTGATCGAAGTCGAGAATTATTGAAGGGAAGATTTCAGCTTTGAATTTTGGAATTATTATTTTGAATGAGCTGAACAAAATTGTACGAATTGTCCCTCTAGTCTTCTATCAGTTCAAATTCAAGTCTTTGAATACGGCTGCATAGCAAATAAAACTCTAACTAAACTTACGAAACATCCAGACAAATATTATACAGGGAAGGGGAAATTTCGAGAACCTATAAGGTTACAAAAATAACAGCATTGCATATCATAGCAAATCAATAGCCCTATTAAAACTAGGGATGGAATTTCATGAAAATAGGTCGTAAAATAGTCATTAACGGTAGGCATTTTCATTCATAGCTTCGGACTTGATAGAAAACTGTTCAAATTTATACGCTCATGACCATGAACTCGTTTAAAGGCCAGAACGATTACAGCGTAAAACTCTTATATTACGAGTGACTCGACTTTCTTCATGTGCAACATCATAGTAATTGCATAATTTTAAATCGTTGCTCTCATTTTCAAAGACCTCTAAAAATTGACCTGCTTCTCAAGCAGGCCTTCACAAGTTTAATTTACAGTGATCGTCAGTCACACATGAAGAAATTCGTAAATAAATCCACCGTATAATTAATTTTAAACTACTATGTTACACCTATTGAGATTTCAAAACATATAAATTACTAAACGTTACTAATATAAATAACAAGTCAAGATCGTGCGTGGCTCCGAGTCATACTCGGGGAAGCTTAAAATTCTGAACACCTTTTTTCATAGCATACATTACACCAGCATACTTTGGCCTCTATTCAGGGAGCATTATAGCAACTTTAAAATCACTGTTATGCCAACATGGCGTGTTGCGCCTCTGGTCTATGATCTGGCCTAAATTTCGAACTTCTAGTTAGGCCTATCAAAAGATATAGTCCTAGAGAATCCTAGTATCAGTTCCTAAATGTCCTACAAGTGTCCGCCCTATTTGAAGCCGTTATGCTCCTCACCGATGGGGTGCCTGTCCCTCGGCCACAAGGTTGGGGTGTACAGAGCACAGATCCGACATCTGCTGATCTTCCTCCACGCTTCCTTGGCACTGATTGTATCCCGAGAGTGGGTGTTCTTTCCTCCTTCCTTGTGTGCCACTCTCAGCCACACATTGGATGCTTGAACCACCTGTTGATAAAGATGAAGAATAGTTTATGACTCCGTTAAATTTAACCTCGATAGGTTTAAGTGTTAATTTTTCTCATTTTTATTTTGTTAAGCAAAATGTGGCACCCCAAGTGTTCCTAATCCTAAGTAGTAAGTGGTTTTTTTTCTTGAATCGGAGAAAAAATGTGCACTATCTTTATTAAAATTATAGACCACATAACATCAACGTGCCCTATGTTTTTATAAGCATCAAACTATTGAATCAGGAATTAATCCAGCTACTCCTAAATCATAAAACTTGACTGAAAAATAGAAAATATTTATTGAAATGGAACTAACCCTGCACTCGTTGTGACCGTTGCATTCAATGAAGGGAGAGGACTCGAAGTAAGGGAGACAGCTGCCAATCGAGGAGAGACTCACTTTTCCAGACTGACCAGCCTGAAAAATTGACTGTTTTTATACTTTTACGGTATTATAATAAGACGTATGATGTATGAGAACTTTTTAGAGATTGACTATACTTAACGCTAGACAGCGCGTTATCTTTGTTCAGTTTAGTATGTACACTGTACAATGTACACGCATGTATAATGATTTATGATAGTGGTTATCGGAATTATCAAAATACAAGGATTGCCAATTGCCATGCAATTTGGAGTCGAAGATCATTAACATGATAACTGAGTGTCCGAACTAACCGATATGAAACTGAACCCGGACCAGAAGTGTTGAGAGGTGTATCCCATGGGACAGTCTGGCACAGTCTCGTTCTGAGAGTGGACGACGAGAAGAGTCTTGGCGCTCTCACAGACGCTACATCGACTAGCCATTATCTCTCCGTTACGATTGTGGGGGTTCCTGTAGGTTTAATTTTCTTAGTTTTCATTGAAAAATAGAGAATAGGATAAGGAAACTTTAAGTTTATGTTTTACAATTTCAGTACGATATAGTTTTTGAAGAATTGAAAAGTTTTGCTCGGCGGAATATGCTGGAATCAGGAAAATTCAAGATGTTGATTTTCAATACCTGTTCCAAAGCCATGTTGATTTCCAGTTGTTTCCTCTGAGTCTACACTTTCTTCCACGACACAGGACGTGAGGTACAGGATCAAATTTCCTCATGCAGGAGCCAGGGTCTGACAGATCTATGTATCCAGAACCGTCCTAGAGTATTTGATGTGTTATGTCTCTAGAAATAGTTTGTTAAATACCCAGAATTCCAATCCATTTTAATCGGATCTTGATCATGTTACCCGAGCCAGGACCCAATCCCCTCCCATTTCTACATGTATCAAATTACTCCGCTTAATTAATTCTCCCACTTTTATCGATTTACGGTCTGTTTAATTGATAAAGGTTGAATTAGTTTTTTTTTCATTTCCATTTCAATTTCTGGTTCCTTCATTCCTTGTTGCACGAACGGTACGTGATGAATCCTCAGTTAAAACCATTTCTGGAATTGTAAGCTCTGGCGTGATAGTTTTATGGAGCCATTTTCATGAAGTAATCCATTCCCTTAATGGAAATAGCTCCTCAAGTACGATGCAATAGGTTTCTGCAGCTTAGCCAAATTCATCTGACCCAAATGACTAACCAAATTCATGAATCTTAATATGATGCTTGGTGGCTGGTGCGAATATTTCTTATAACTAAGATAAGATACTTTGTTTGGATGGCAACTCAGTCTGAATTTATAGTTTATTAGTAATGATTTTGCCACATTTAAATACATATCCCGGCGTCCTATTGTCCCAATATTTTGAAGCCGATACCCAAATTAGATGACTAGACGATATCATGTCCCTCAGAGTTTAATGGGACCAGACTTAAGGCGAAATACTAAAATACGATAAGATGAGGCTAAAATCAAATCAAATCAAGAATAATGACATAAACATCATCACCACTTTTTAAAAACATTCTTCCTAATTCTTAGCTAGACAAGATTATAAGGGCAGACTCACGAAAGCTTTGACAAGAGAGTATCCGACCCAGAGCTTGAAGGTTCCCACTGGACACACGGGTGTCTCGTTAGACTGGAGGTGCATGGCGAATATCTTGCCGTATCCGTAGTCAGCTTCAACTCCCTCGATCTTGTTCTCCAGTAGTGCTAGTCTGGCCAGCACTCGGAAATCTGAAGTAATTAGTTTTTATAGCTAATGCTATAGCTTAGTTACCAGGTATTCACAGAATATAGACATTCAAATCTACTTCTACCCTTGTCGGTGGATTATTACAGCTCAGTCTTGGATTTGAATTTCATTATTGTATATAATTCCATTATGCAACAAAACATAATCTATTGGGTAGGATATTAGAGAGAATAGAACTATAGGATATTCATATTAGTATAAATACATATTTATAGACACTAAACAGCTATAACAGTAACATTAACGAAGCAATAAATTCTGCAAAAGCACAATTTCTTACGTGACTCATGAGCTGATTAATATTAAATCCGCAAAAATGGAGCAGTTAAAGTAACGATTACAGACAACAAGATATTATCCGATAATTTTAAGATTAGAATACAACGCTGCTGTTTCACTAGGCACGTCATGCACGAGACTAACGGCAAATGAGTTAATACACTATTCATGGTGGAATAAACTATAAAATCAGATACAAGTCTCACCTCCAGCCGTGGTTCCACTGCGTGGTTCTCGCGGGTATGGATACTTGTTGTCGTAGGAAGTATCCTGTTGAGCGTCCTTCAGGTCCATGATCCCGTAAACTCCACCCAAAACGGCGCTGATCAGCAACAAAAACATAGCTGTATTTCTGAGTGAAGAGTACAATTTATTGACGAGCATAATTACTTAGTGAGTTTAGTGGCAAAATACTTGGTCGAACGATTTTTACAGGTCAAGTCATCGACGTACAACTGCCATAACTATATATAGGAATTCAAAACTGACGATTGGAAACATGTGGTATGTACTTATATATATAGAGAGAGAGAGCTAGAGAGAGCGAGAGAGAGCGAGAGAGAGCGGAAGAGAGCTAAAAAAACTTAGACGTCAAACGTCCTGAAATTGTCAGAAAAGTTTCAAACAAAGGGCGAAATAATCGAATAAATTGACCGCTGACCCAAATAATTGACCTCGGTTCAAAAATCAATTGTGGTGACTTTAACCGTTTGATGAATTTATGATCTTTACGACAAAATTAGCTGAAAGCTGAGATATGTCTGGAATCCCTAAACATGTCTAGAATTCGTAAAGACTCATCTATCCTAAGCAAAGATGTTACTTAATTTGTGGGATTCTATCTAATTTGTTCAATCCCGTTGTATGCATGAAGAATTACCATAAAAGGGGTGTCTCTGAGGACTTTACTAGGCCTGAAGCCTACTTAAAAACAGTCCAAATTTTTGGTGACGGTCAACTTTAAACGGAGTTGACGCATGACGTGTTGATCGCGTCGGGAAATGTCGCCACGTACTGAAGCCCGAGAGATATACCGTGACCAATGTTTTGTGATGCTATGGAACTGGCCCGGTGATGCTTCAAATTTCGAACATAATCAGAAAGTAAAGTCATTGAGCTGTCAGATGAAAGGAATCTTATTGCCTTGGCATGCTTCCAAATGGCGGGGGTCACGTGATGTCGCTATCAACCTTACTTTGCAGAGGGTCAAATATTATTGGTATATCAGAAAGAAATGTCAGTTTTGTGGTGATACAAGATGGTGTGCGTGGTAGGGAGCAGTATGCCGAGAGAATATTAAATATCCCTTTGATTTTAAATGGTGCAATACCGTGGCTCCATGCAGCAGCAACTTTATATAACAGCGAAGATTGCGACATTCAGGCAGAAATATTGGACAGGATCAGCTAAATTAGTTGAGCAAGCTGGGGATATGCGGCCTTGTCAATGACTACTGGCACCGCTACCTCGATACGTAGAGAATTCAACTGAGATCAGATCAAAGCAGGCCGAAAATGGTAGACACGTGGACTTCGTTGAGGTAGCTGGCCAAATGACGACCAGCATTAAACTTGTCGAGTACGTGGAACAGTCATTAGTAGGAAACTGTTAGAGAACTTTAATTTTTACGAGAAATTAATTATAACTGAAAGCTTGCAAACTTTCCCTGGTAACAGATCGAGCTTTTGAAAGAAAAATGAGAGTAAATATAGGAGGAGTTTTATCAGATCATGTCGACAAGGTATTTATGACACTTTAACAGCTGCAGAAATAACGTGTCAAGACTTGTCCATCTTCAATTTTCACTCAATTTATTCTTGACACGATTATGGGGTTTAAAACATTCGGCCACTAATTTGTCTCTCCGTTTTTATAACAATAATATCGGCCCAGTATGTTGAATGGAATACATTGTTAAATGGAATATGTTAAATAAAAATACAATAAAATCGAACTGTATTCGACAACATTTCGATTTTATAAGCGGTCTAGACTTCTAAACCACAGTAAAAGATAATAATTTTACGTGACTTATTGTGACTTTAAACTGATATCAATACTACTATCAATATAAGTAAATGAAGTTCAGTGAAGATGAGACCTACAACAATACAACATAGTTTAGTAAAATAGACAGAACCCTGTAATGAATTAGGTAACGTCATGCTCACCTAGCCAAAAGATGCCCGGAGTTATGGCCATATGCCAAGCTAATACCCATATCTACAATATATTCGAGTTATAAGTATCAAATTGTTAGGAAATTCCACGAAATGAAATTTGCTACGTGCCACCTGCCGGTACGCCATATCGCCCTTCAAATTAACCTGTACCCTGCAGATGGTTATTGTTATTCTAGCTCAATCCTACCCTACGAAGAAGGCCGGGTGGCCTGGCACAAACATCTCCCAAATCCCACCCCAATTAATTTGTGTCTAGGTTGGGAAGATGTTACCGCTGGGTACAGGTCGTAGGTTCATCCTGCTTGCACGTGTTTCACATGCCACTCTCCTACCAGTGTTGAGTGACACAACGTCAGACTGATAAAGATTTTACCGTGTTTTTGAGGATCCGCCGAAAATATCCTCCGCATACCAACAACTCGTCAGGAACGTCAATTTCCACAGTTTCAGAAGGTTCTACACCTACAAGCGAAACAAAGCAGCAGTACTCGGGCAACATAGTGATTTAACGTCCTACTAGCTGCCAACAGCTACTACCGTTTAAAACATTGTGAGAGAGGTCGGCCTGTACTTGGTGGTCCTGACTCTTGCTATATACCCCTGCCTGTATAATACTCGTGCCTAGTAATGGCGAATCAGTTCAGTATCGCCAGGCTACTTGCCAACATATATAAAAGTATAAAAAGAGTTAAATTTAGTGCGTCTTATAAATTTGGATGCCCGGTTTCGTTACAGGGGCCTGCGTCAATTGTCATCTATTTTGACAATCGACATGTCAATTCAAACATTCCAGGAAGGAAACAGGACACTACTACTAGAAAAGGTAGGTACGGAACACGTCGACGATCGAAATGAACAACAAACCTCTGGAGAGAGTCGGCGAGTGGTCCCTAAATTTATACTACCCACAAAATTGTCCTGGTTATTGGCTAACGGGATCACGAGTGGATGAACCATGGTTGAAGTGGGGCTGCCAGCAGCTGGCCTGAATACCTGCTCTCCGGGCTGCTAATTGAAATGAGGATGAACTTGGACCTTCGCCGAAAGTTCCGTGGAATAACCAGAAATATCGGGTGAAATAGCATCAAGTACCAGCGGCCAAAAGCTAAATCACTTGTCTTCTTTAACGATCTTTGTGCTCCTCCTTAAATGTTATTTATTAGAGACCTAATCAAATCCTTTGTCTAGGAAAGAGATCGTACAAAGGAAGGAGGAAGGTGTGATGTAAGATTAGGCGGCCCAGGCCGGAACTCGCCCCCCTTTGTACTGTCTCTTTCGAGCATCTGTTTTTAATTTCATAAATTGTAATTGTATCACTATCAAAGCGGGGGTCGAATGTGGTGCGTTAGCCTGGCCCGGACAGCACCCCTAATATCCAGCTCTGCCTGGTGACTGTTGTGACTCAGGCCCGGGAAAAGTGTTTACCGTCTGGGAAAAAGTTTTGTGCTGAACCTCCTACACCGGACCATCTTCGCTACCACGTTCACTCCTGGTCATCAGTGGCAACAAAATATGCAAGAAATGCGATAGCTGTTAAGTGGAGTGACCTAGCACCTAGTTCTGGTTAGGTCCCACATTTTGGGTATTGGGTAGATGACCTTTGTCGCCGGACAAGTGACAAATGCTAACCTCAATGACCTGTGCCTGGGGCGTGCACACAAGGAAACCAGAATAACAAACAAATAAATAAATGAATCAAACTAAGCACGTACTTAAAGCAGGGCATTTAGACTTTAAGTGAACTAAAAAATTACTAAGTTATATTAAGCTATGATAATGATATGTCCAGTCAAAGGACAGGGCTTTTATCACATTATAACTGCTGTTAACAACAGAAATGAAAATATCAATGTGTCGATCGCCGATAAAAGTATAAAGAGGACCAGAAACTAATTTTAACACTGATCATGGGTTCTGCCGGCAAGATAGTGAGATAATGTACTCTATTTTAAGGACTTTGCTATCTGCTTTATACAGCTTTTAGTCTGGCAATGAGACGGTTTGGTTCACTTAAAACGATGCACTCTGCTCGTGTCGGTTGTTAAAAGGCTGCTAATTACCAGCTTGCCAGGGCCAGCAGTACTTCTGGTCGATGAGCTAATGGAAGGGAAGAGCAAGTATTAACTAGAGCAACATTGGAAGAAAAGCGGATCACATCTTAACGACTTTAAAACAGTTACTGGTCTTCCCCTTCCCTGTCACATACATGACAATTGACAGTAATGCAGCTCGGAGCTGTTGTCCTCGGCCCTGTCAAGACTCAACGGCCAGTAGAATTCTCCCTACGGGCTTTGTTAAAATATTCAGCCTATTTTGGTAGCGCGGTAACATATGCAGTGACATATGGTCATATACTTGGACAAACTGGACACCAGATAAATTACATACAAAGCTTTTTTATTTGAAATATTCGTGATCGTCATAATATTCCGAGCTGATAAGCAAACGATACTAAGCTCCTATTTAAACTATTGACCGCAAATAAAAAGCTTAACTTGCCTTGTCCCGCGACACTCCTGCTTTTATTTGAAAAATAGATTTTCTAGAACAAACGTGAAGCATACGTAAATTTTCTTTGCCGTATTGAAGTCTTGATCGCTCTCTGGATCATGTGAACTGATAACGGTACATCAAATTCAATGGACATAGAATCGTCAATACAGTGTTTAGAGTTAGTCAAACGTGCCCTTCCTCACGATACGCCATCTTCCACTTTCCTCCGACATTCTTCAACAAGCGAACGAAACCACAACAAAGCTGTCCGATTGTCGTATTGCAGGAAAATCATGTGTCTTTAAAAACTGTTTGATTTGAACTATCACATGTAATGGCCGAGCAAGAACCTTCCTTCGATACTTCCTTCACTGGCATGTCCGCACTCAAACTGTATGCGTGCAGGCGAAGTTACAGTTATGAGTTATCTAGACTGTTAAAACGAGGGTCACGGCGGTCGAGCAGCTGCCGCAAAAATAAACCGCAAAACCACATTGTCAGATTAGTAATAAGTACTGTGAGCTGGATGCTAAGTAGAGGACTGTGACACGCTTTCCATAAGTATTACACATGCATTTTTTAGTGCTTGAATGATTATTTGGAATTGATCTGCTTCAACTTTGATGGTTTTAGTACCTACCTGTAAAATTTTTATAACCTGTAAAATTTTTAAATT